CTATGTAGTTGAGAATTACCTACTTTAGAAGGGGGCGAAAATCATTGTAAAAAACGAGTTGCTCAGGCCCCCGAGAGATAGAAAACAAAAAAACACTAGATCTTACCACCGGCAGAGGAGGCAACTCCAAGGAACATACTGTGGGAGAGGTTCTTGGTTCAGTGCTGAGAGGGGCATTCTCCTTGATTGTTGCTATGGGATATAGAGGGCTATAAATACATGCTTCGGACCTACTGTCAGCATCATGAAATCAGGTCCACGCAATTTGTTGTAATGTGCTCACAGGCCAACAAGGAGCCCAACAATACCGGAGCACACAGTTGGATTATTTGGGAATATAGCATATGAGTCAGCCTAGTACATGCTGGCTATATGTGGCTGTTGCCTCGCTACTGCTTGTTGACCGCTATGCCTCCTGCCTCACTTCGTTCAGGGGGTCCCCCACATTCAACAGTCAAGAGGAATCAATTAACTAATTAGATCTCGAGACTACAATCCCCCCACTTCGCTCTAAAGGTTCCTTGTTGAAAATAGTAATATTCCCTGAATAATAATCAGCTACCGGAAACAAATTCCGGGAGAAAAACTCCACCAGATGCTCACCTTCAATTACCGACCACAAATCCTCTGCATCTTAATGCCTCGTGAATACAGTCCACCATAATTGAGGCCTCCTTCATCCATTTCTCCTTCCCCTGTCCCATACCCCCAAACAATGCCAGAAATGTGTGTGTCTGACTAAAAACCGTCCCATCATATCAGATCATTCGTCACTATTCCCCCGTGGTAACAAAACCATACACCACGCCTCCGCCATTATTTTCTCCGATATCTTTCATTGCCAACAAACACTGCCTCATGGCCTCTCCAACCGAGGACTTCTTTGCTTCCAGCACAAAAACAAACTTCCGGTTCCCCACCCCGATCATGTCCACCACAACAAATTCCTGATAGCCCCCAGTCTCTGAGTCCACAGAAATGATCTCTTTCTCCCTTCGTAGGCGAAGATCGCGTCCCATCATACGTGTGAAGGCCATGAGTATAGGCAGGATTATAAATAAAACCAAGTCGTTCACATTGGCTTCATTGAAATCTTCGGTCGACTCCGTGGGATAGCCTTCGCCTTCCAGAAATTCGATAATATTATGGTAAACATTTTCCTTGGTTTCCTTGATCTCGTCTTTCCTGAGACCATCAATCGCAGGCGTGGCTTCTGCCAACATGCGGCTAACCGGAATGGCTTGACGTTCGAATTTTTCGAATGGAAAGCCAAGTCTCCTCTCGGCCTCGTCCCTGGTAACGTTCGAATATGCAGTCTTATACTTCCGGTAGGTAGTTAGCTTCTTCTGCCGAAACTTGTGGTCTAGTTAGAAAGGTTTTCAGGCTATTAAAACTTCAAGCTCACCAGAGCAGTGCCCATCGCCCTGCATGGAGAGTAGGCTTGAGGGCGGAAGCAATAAATGCCGGCGGACCTGGCTGCTAGTTTGGTGGCAAGTATGAACATAGTCGGCTACAGTTCACCTCTCGTGAATTTAGTAAGTTAGTCTTCTATGGATAATATGACATTAAATGGACTTGTTCGTGTACACTTGTAGTGGCGTGTTTGATTGCTGGTTCTCGAATGGTGGGTTGAACAAAGTTTGCTACTTCTCAACCAAGTGCGCGGGAAACTGCACTACTTATACTTGGGTGTGATTAGTAATCAGGACACCATACATAGAATTTTGCAAATATCTAGTGTGAAGCAACACTGCGACACACCCGAATTTTATCAATATATGTTCTATCCTCCGGTGAAGCTAGAATGCTGGTTAACAGCTCATGTTTCCAGTCTGACCCCGCCAGGGTGTATCATCCAAGTATGCGGGAGGGGAGGGGGTGGTGGCTGCAGAGGGTTTCCAAGTAAACCATCTTCAGCAACAGATTGAACATCGCTCCCGATGGCTAACGCTTGAATCCCCTCCCACCCAGTGTTTGGAAGCGGTATTCGAGATTGAAAATCAGTGATGGAAACTGGGGGAGGGGAGTCTTTTGTATGCATACCCCGGCGCGGTTAGGGGTTGTGTCTTGTAACTCTAGTCTGACTGGGGGGTAAACGCTTACGCACAATCTCACCAGCCATGGCGGTACTCTCGGGTTATTTTTTTCCCCCTCGCCGCTGTCTTGTTCGGGATTGTGGCGGATTTCCGGTCGGGTCTTGGGGTTGCTGGTGTGGTGAGTGTTGGTCTCGAGAGGATGACACGAGTGATTCCTGATGATTGCAACCAGAGGTCATTATATGTTGGATGGGCTGAGTTGATAATCGCTAATATTGGACTTAACCTTTCCCAGATTGGGTGGCGTGGCGAGAAGCATTTGGAAGGGTATTATCGGAGTGTACTAGACACCCCGCCCCCTCCCCCAAAGCTGCACGGGCCACCGGTAACAATTCATACCAACATCTTTCGAGAGAAAACCAGTTTTCGAGGCGAACGAAAGTGCGATAGCGGTGAACGCCGCACCCCTACAGCGTCATTCGCTCCCGTGCCGTATTAAGGAATCTGCATGGCCAGAACTTGTGGTTGGATTTAAGTCAAAGTTGTCAAAGTTGTCAAAATCACACTTTTTTCCAATTTCTTTTTTACCCCCCCCCTTTCAGGATTTTCCTGCAGCCCCACCAACTACAGATTCCACCCTTTGTGATAGTTCCACGGTGGGATGCTATCGCACCATGACAACTCTATTCAGCGAAGCCATCTTCAATCTTCCGGCCCTGTCGTCTTCCTTGAATCTCCACTCCACAGCCTACCATTCTTGATAAGTGTGTGCGCTAGCAGGAGCATAGGATGCTGATCCACCCTAAAAGTGCCTGACCAGTTCTGGACCATCTGGACCACCCCGCCTTCTTTCAACCTTACTCTCTCAATACCGGTACCTAAACTAAGGAAAGAGAGAGAACTTTCAAAAGGAAAGAAATGGGTGCTGAACCATCCTCCCGTGTTGATCCTGACACTGCTCCAGAAACACTCTACCACCAAGACCTTTCTTCACCATTACGAAATTCCAGCACCCCCATTAATTTACCCTAATGGTTGCACATGTCTTCATATCACTAATGGCAAAGAAGAACTTACTGCCAGAACATAGACATGCTTGAACACGCTGCAGGAGTTCCACTGGAGAGGCCCGTCGATGCCCATCGAAGCTCATAGCTAGTTCACGTGGCAGTCGTCCATTGATTGTCATGCCGCAAACCCAGGTAATAAGATGAAGGAGCGCATTCTCGCTGGAAGCGTTCCCCAGTACAAGGCTACTGCCAGCTTGACATAGCCAGATATTGTATTCTATGGGGAGAGCTTGAGGAGAGAGGTTCTCATGGGACTTAGAATGGTCGAGGAGGCGAAATTGGTAGTTGCTATGCGGAGTTTGTTGAGTATTTATCAGTTTCTGAGGTGTCTTGGATGGGTGAAGGAGGGGCTGTTATGGTTTTAATATATAATGAGCTCGCAAGGGGAAGTGGTCGGCAGGCGGACGATGTGCTTTCGCTGAGCTGGCGCGATGAGGGGGTGAGAACACTGGCGAAGGAGCTGGGGCGGACGGAGGAGTTGGAGGAAGTTTGGGGGTTAGTCGGAGACGGGAGCAATGAGAAGGCAGAGGCGGAGGCTGAGAGTGGTGAAGATACTGAACAGGTGTAAAGCGTGGGTGCAAAAACCGGCGGCTTAATGGAAGAATTTGAATGTGGCCTATCCGCTGTTGACGGCGGGAAGGAAAATGTGATGAAAGACCTCTCCATCTAAGAGACGCCAATGAGCAGAATGGTCGAGGCCGACCTTTGCGGCAAGAACAGCGAAGTCAGCCACATAGAGCAGCAGAAGCTCAGGAGCTCCTCAGCTGACCAACCAACTTGCTCTTCCTCGAATAAGACTAACCTCAATACTGCCGTCTATGAACCAGACCCTTAGGTGCAGAAAGTGGGTGGCATGGAGGTGCATGATTGTCTTGAAATGTAAGTACAAAAGGTGAGGGGGGGATGTTTGGATTTAGAGTTTTAGCTTTGTTTGCCTTTTTTGTTGTGATATACTAGCTGGTCAGTTATTCCATTTGAGTAACATATGTGATATGCTTTGCCTTTTCGTATTAGACTTTATCTATTCACAGGGTGCTACAATAATCACATAAGACTGTTGTATCCGCCATCATGAATGATCACTCAGGTGAAGTAGCCTATGATATGTTGGAAATATCTGCAGATGTTTGTACATATTGGTACGTGTCAGCCGAATTCTCTACTGCCGAAAAAGAAATTCCATCTACTTTCCTTTCCTCTTATACTATACTTGACACTTTTTATCTCTCCCACTATACCAAGCAATCAACAAACTTCCTCCTCTCTAATATGGAGATTGTTTTGTTGTCTAAGCTCTTTCTCTCTTGATTCCTCATAATCTCTGGCCCAATCATTTCCACATTTTCAACATCATATGAGGGTCTATTATGTACTCACGTAGCCTGACTTAGAAGCCAAATCGAGTCTACATAACAATATTGCTCTGTTCTATGCTTATCATATCTGCGTATAGCCCCTAGCATCCTTTCACACCCTACTATAACCTATACCCCTTTATTGAACCTTGCACAACCCGAACCCTATTTGTTTTTCTTTTCCAACCACACACCCGGCACCCTAGCTCATGGGCACCCGCTCCTCTAAATGGTGCTTGATATCTACCGGTATGATACTGATACTTCCAAATCCACCTCCCAAGAGGTTACGTGCTTACTCCCCTCCATCCTTTCCACTTTCCACTTTTCCTTTCATATTTCCATCCATTTTCCCTACCATTTGTCTCGTACGACCCACTCCCAGCCCTTCCCAAAAAAGAGATGACCATCAAGGGTTTAGGCTTGTAATACATTGCACCCTAACTATAATGAGTGGCTATAATTGGAAAAATACTGTAAAAGGAACTAAATATAGTTCAGAGTAAAAGTAATAACTAACCTCAAGGGAGGAGAAAAGTTGATTTCGTCTGGGCTCGAACAGGGGACCACCAGTATGTTAGACTGGTGTGATAACCACTAAAAAAGCATGGTAATTTGAGAGGTAGGAAGGGCTCCTACTTATGCAGTCCAGGCTCCACAAAATACCTCTCAGTTGTGGTTATGGGAGTTGGGAGACGTTGATTGTTTTTCAATCGCCAATGCGGGTCCCACCAATGGCTGACTCATCACTTCCCTATTCAGGTTTAGGGGGACAGGTGATGAATGGTTGTGCAGTTTCGTGGTGTATCCCATGGACCGATGAGACATGCAGATTCTCGACCTTCCTATTGGGGTAGCCGCAGCCGGAAATGCTAGGAAGAAATTTATTATTAATCATTCACGTGATATCAAATTCAATCAAGATAATTCTGCTAATTTTCTGCCCAGTTTCATACTCAGTAAGAATAAGTTACAAAACAGTATGAAAATTGAAAAAACATTGGTTTACAAGGCATAAAGGTATTTCACAAATAGAGCACCAAGTTCCAGTTTTGCTAACCTTCATAGTTTGCAAAATCTCAGTTTGCTGGTGTGCCGGAAGAGGGTTCTTTGGATCGCCATGAATTTTCTTATACCGGCAGTACCAGCATTGCTTCCGCCAGTTTTGCTGGGAGAGTGGTTGGTGGCTTCCGGTTGTACGGAAGTGGAATGGAGGCAGTGATGTTTTTTTGGTCACATATGCCTGGAAATGAGGCTGGGGCTGGTGGAGAAGGGGATTATGTTTTGCTGACCCGGTTTCAACAAGAGCATGAGCGAGATCACGACGGAATGCTTTGTGTTCTGTGTGGGGAAGGAGGGCACAAGTAATAAGGTATGTGTTGGTAACCGCAGTATCAAGAGCCCAAAACCATAAGGGGAGCCAATTCCGCAGACTTTTTTGATGACATGGATAGTTGCTTCGTAGCTGATCAGCAATATCCACCCCACCCATATACTGATTATAGTCATCAACTAACGCGGGAATGGGAAGTAGTTTTTGGTGTTCGTCCTCCTCGAAAGGCCTGCGAGCGTTAACGGCATTTGTGCTTGTTTTTTTTGGCTTTCGTCGATTACTGAGTACAAGTTGACGGAGATCGTGAATTGTAGTTAGGAATAGCATGGTATTGTTGTCCTGCCAACGTGCAGCACAAACTCCATTTACTGCTACTCCAGAAAGGTGATTCCATTCCAATATTCTTGTCGTTATATCCTTACTAATTGCCAATACTGGGGGAAAATCATGACGTTTAGCACGAGTCGTTCCGGCTGCACCGATTCTGTGGTCTCGTAAGTGACGAAATAATGGTATACTTGTGAAGTAATTATCCATATATATGTTAAACTGATATGACTGAAATGCCAAGGAAAAAACTAGATGACAGACTGCCTGGGCTGTGGGTGAGAAACCATTTGAAAGTTTAAGGTTCTCAGTTTTGGTGAGTTCATGATTGGTATAATTGAAGAGAGCAAGAGAGCGTTCTTTACTGATATGGGTATAGGCAGATGTCGTTCTTGTGAAGTTACTAACTTCATTCCCTGTCACACCGGAGTAAAAGAGAAATAGGTATGTATAGCCTCGATCGCAAAGAGCATAAATTTTGTAACCTTGGTCTATTGGCTTTCCTGGAAGTTTGATTGTATGTGCTGATTTTCCCTTACACAGCACCATCATTTCATCGAATGAGAGATTTGAAGAGGGCAGAAAATGTTGCTGGAACTGCTGCCGTAAATGGGAGGCTAATGGTTCCATTTTCCTCCACCAGTCTTCTCGTTTGTAAGTATCATCTGGTGGCGAAATATGGAGGTAGCGCTTAATTTGCTCATAACGGTTACAGGACATGTACTGCATGATTGGATGTCGGGTTTCCGTTCGCCAGTGGTCCTCGATCGCAGGTAAGTGATTTATCCCCATCCAAAGTTGAAGACCAATGAAGATCTGTATTTCTGGAATGCTAACCACACTCCAAGGACGATTGATAACCCCCTCCACTACCTTTTCACTACCTGGTTCATTCTTGTACCCATCTGAGCGCTTTATTTCGGCATATCGGTTTGTATTTTTTACAATTTCTGCCAAAATATCTTCACCAAAAAAGTGATTGAAGATACTTAATGGCTTAGGATTGTTGAGAATCGATGGAGGGAGCATTGGTTTTGAAGGGTGGGCAGGGAATGGACTTTGGTAGGCATCAAAGGCTGGTGGCTCGGGGAGGTTATCGCGGATTTTGGCATCTTCGGTAGTAAGGTCTTTTGGATTTCTTGGTATGCGAGTCTTTTTATTCTGCCAAATAGATAAGTTAATCTATGATTCAGCTATTGATATACAGTCACACCTCGCTATCCTGAATGGCCAAAATCTGAAGAATCTGTCTGACACAGTAAGGGATCTGGGACACCAGGTCAGGTTTTGATGGAAAGAAATTTGGAGTTCATAGAGAGTCATACGAGACAGTGAGGTATCCAGATTATTGAGATCCGAGACAATGAGGTGTGACTGTAGTTCTATACACTGGCAAACGATTCAATATAAAGTAAGATAAAACTTACTGGTGATTTTGTGCTAGGCTCTGAAGGGCACAAATGTTTCTTCGGTTGTGCTTGAATAGGGTTTGCATCAACTGGAAGCTCACTGAGTACAACTTGCTGTTCGTAGCTCATTTTGCTTGTGTGCATGCCGGTAATTACATCTACATATTCTTGTAAGTTATGATGAGGTTCATTTGATGGCTGACTAAACAGCAGATTAGCTACACATGCTAACTTATCTAGGAAGGTCCAGAATCTGCATGTCTCATCGGTCCATGGGATAAACCAACTACACCACAAAGCCGACTGACAAAATCAATCAAACTCCCCTGCTAAACCTAAATCGGAATCCAATAAGTTGTACACCAGGGCCCTGACACTGTTGTCAGATGTGGAGCAGAATACCAGTACTCCTCAAAAATAAACAAAAAGTAAATTTAGGTTAACCTGCAAAATAATCCCTGTCTTATGTGAAAAGATTCTGGTTTGCCTCCTGCCAGCTGGATAGGTAATGAATAGTTAATTTAGGTTAACATGTAAAATGATCCCTGTGATGTGCGAAAACATCTAGCCTGGCACTTGTGTCATATGTTATTTCCTTGCTAAATCCACAATTTGTCATCTCGGCAATAAGAGACAAAAACACCCCAAGCAGGAATAGTATTTTCCACACATGGTATAGGTTGGGTTAACTGATACCGCCATTCTGTTAACCTACTCTGCTAAGTCAATTGTGGCTTTGGATGGTGATTCCCATTGTGCATCCCCAATGGCGGATCTAGCACGTAAATACAGTATCATGCCATACAGTAAGAACTTGAATAATTAGACTGTGTGCTATGAAGTCCAAAATTCCGCTCTCTGGAAAGGGGGCAGAAAACACAGCCCCTTTCCCGCCTCCGAGAGAGAAAAAGAAAAAAGTTTTTTTCTTGACCTCAGGGAGAAAATAAAGCCCAACGACATAGCACACAGTCCAATTATTCAAGTTTTTATGGTACCGGTGCGGGGTCTCTTTTCTTACTCCCGTGTGTGGATGGTGTGTCGACCGAGCCGTCTCCCTCCGCGGTGGGTATAGTTGTGACCGTCTGGTACTTTTTCTGCTTTTCATGTTCCATTCACCGGCTACCTCCGAACTTGATAACATTGGTCCTCTATTGCATGAAAAAAAACAAACAGGGGAATGATCGAAAGCCCCGAGCTAAAGCTTCTCGCATTGCAAATTAGATATTAATTGTATTATTATTATGTCGCGCTCATCTGAAAGCGACATAATTAGCGGGGGTAGCGACGATATCATCGTGTTGGCAGACCCCGGGGTGGATTCAGTACCAGGAAGAAGTTCTGTTTATCCAAAAAAAAAAAAAAAAAAGGATCATTTTGGTACTGTGAAGCGTACATTTCTAAAAAAGCTCAAGACCTATGATACAATCCAATTCTAAAAGATAGCTGACAACAGGGGAGAGAGAAAACATGACATCTAATGGTGAAGAAAGATTTATAGGTAGTGTACAGGGAAAAGAGATAAAAACGAATCCGAAGAAGCAAAGAAGACGAGAAATACAGATGTACTACGGGGGTAGGGGAAAGTCTGGCGAATGTGACTCACAGAATTTCTATGTGATTGGCAGCCAAGACTTCGCCAGAATTTCCCCTACCCCCCAAGTACAAAATCAGTACACATAGATCAAGCTCAATAGATCATGGGTGGGCTTGCAGTACTAGATTCCATTGACTCGGGAATCATTTCTCGTTGATCCCAAGAGCCGCGAAAGTTGTGTCCATACCCAATTCGCAAAGACTAACCATCTATCGAATGGCAGTGACATGGTTAGCCATGATGGACTTATCAAAAAAAGAAGATAGAGGATGAGGAGAAAGCAGGTAACATTGATACAACAGCGGATTACACCGTGGAGGGGTGATGGAGGATCAGGAGAACAGGAGTGAGAATCTGTGGCTGGATGGCAACTTGAGAGGGCCTGCTGAGATGTGGTTTGAAGGAGGTCCAACGGCTCTGGTGACGGGGTGTCGGAAAGCGCTGATGAGGGGAGTCCTGGGACTTCCTAGATATCTGATATCTTTGTGAGGGAGTGATTATGTTCTGAGAGTAACTTGACAGCTGCTGAATACCCCTTCGAGGTGGCTAGTGAAAGTGCTGTTTCACCGCTGAAGTCTGTTGGGTGGAGATTAAGACCATGATGTGCCAAAAGTATCTCTACTACTTTATCATATCCTTCCTCTGCCGCACACATAGGTGGCGTCCTGCCCTTAGTGTCTGCCGTATTCGGATTGACATCCTTTCGTTCCAAAAGGATCATTACCAATTCCTCATACCCCCTCTCAGCGGCCCAGGTCAGTGGCGTTTGACCATACTCAGTGTCTGCCGTATCCGGGTTGACATCCTGGGTTCCAAAAGCATCACTACCACTTCTCCATACCCCCTCTTAGCGGCCCACGACAGTGGTGTTTGATCATACAAAGTGTCTGCCGTATCCGGATTGACATCCTGGGTTCCAAAAGCATCACTACCACTTCTCCATA